GGGAAGAAGAGGATGAGAAGAGAGAATGAGTACATTCTTCAGTGTGGGCAACCCAGAGACCATTACTGGTCAATACTGGTCCATCTCTGTCTTTTACTAAGCTCCATGGTTGCCTCTTTGTGGCTGTACTCAAGAAAAGACAAATTGCAGAGACGAGCATCACATTTAATTCTGAAACTGGAAGCATACCAATCATGCTCCTCCTCAGGAGTGTAATTCATCATGTCTAGACACAGCTTCTCTGAGAGCATCATCCTACATTCACAAATATCCCTTATTAGTTGGCAGTTTTGCTGCTGCAGCTGTGGGACATCATGAGTGTCAAGAGCCTTTCAAAATAGCTAAAATCTGACTATATTGAGAACATGACCTTGAACTGAACGGTACATATTAGGGGTTGGTGCAATGCAATGGTGGTGAACACACCTCCACTTGCTCTGGGAGAAATGAGAGAGGAATAAAATTGTGGCTGTAGAGTTGAACGTTTTTAATGAGAAGGTGAAACAGAAGGTACTGAATGCAGGAGGGAAAGATACTTTTCCATCTTCCACAGGTATTAGCACTGTGTTGAAAATGACTCAGAAAAAGGTGAAAATACAGCAATAGGGAGGTTATATTATTCGGGAACTATTACAAAGCTGTGATTGTGCTATAGGTGTAACAGGATCACCGCACGTGTATGGTTATAGTCTAACAGATTATACCCACCAGGCTACCAGAGTGCTGACTTGTAGATCTCGGAAGGGTGGAAAAAGTGTCTTTCTACTTACCTTTTCCAAACTGGTTACCAACAATATCAAACGCCTGCAGCTGCATATTAACGAGGAGTAGCTGGAAGTTCTTCTCCAAGCCAAAGATTTGCTTGCTGGCACACTTAAAGGAATTCCCCAGCTTTGTTGTAAACAGTTTCTCATGTATGGCTGCATAGTAAATCATACCTGGAGGCCATAAAGAGAGATTCAGTAATCTTTATCTTAGAAAATATATGGGCTTGCTCACTGCAAAAATACTGCTGGTGGACTCTGAAATGGCAACATCTGGCAGAGAGGCAGTAATGAACAGCCAGGGATAGCGGTGTCTCTTGCCAGCACCACTGTGGAGGACTCAAAGTATATTTGAGGATTTTAAAGTTTATGATTAAGCTGATTAGTTTCTATTTGCTGCAATTCGCACTTAGCAACGCCCAGGAAAACTCTGGTAATTTAGACTGAGAACATCCCTAGGAGACAGGTCCTCTGGATCAGCTCTTCTTTCACTTTAATTGCTGTAGATCAGAACAGGCTCCACTTGAGTTAATGAAAGTGCTCATCAGTGAGAAGAAAAATAGGCACTGAGCTTCCAAAAAGCTCCTGATTTGTTTGTTTGTTTTTTTTTTCTTTCAGGGACAAATTCAATCCAAATACTTACGGGTAACAAATGGAGAAGCAGCATAATATAGTCATTAACCTGTAACAGATTTTATATGTTGGGAAGAATTTTTGCAAAATTAATATCAGAAAAAATCTGAAGTGATGGCTCAGAATTCATCTCTCTGATCTAAATGTTCTCCTAGCATTTCTTGAGAGGTAGCATCTGGAGTAGCTCCTGACTGTTCAAAAGGCAGGAAGCAGGGCTGTATAAGAAAAAAAAATTTGATCGCTAGAGAAGAGCACAGAGAAGGTCTAGGATTTCAGGATGGTTTTAAGAACCTCAGCCTGTCCAGGTCTTATTTTTGCCAAACCAAAATGTCAGACACGCCTCCTCTCCATATTGGTGTATTTGAAATCTGGATTCAGCTCTGCATTTCTGTGATTCAGATACTGTATTTAGTTTGCATATTAGACTGGAAAGATGTATGCAACTGAACTGGAGTCACAGATTTTTTGTGTATTTGCAGATAAAAACTTTGAGGATTGTTTTAAATTTAGTTTTGAAGTAATCTCTATTCTGAAAGAGTAATGAAAGGCAGGGAAAGTTTGGAGGACAAAAAGAAAATTGAACAGTACTCATGAAACTGCAGCCCAATTCCTTCTCTTCCATTTTCATGCCATAAGATTTAGGTGAATGACACGTTTAAAGCCTGATGAAATATACAATTTACAAAATTCAGTATTTTAAAGATCTGAAAGCCAATCCCACACGCAGAACAGTTTGAGATGAATTTAAAACAGTATAAAATCACTGACCTTCAGAAGATAACTGTAATCTGGTCTCAATTTTACTGACACAGTACGTTGGAGCTTGCTGCAAAAGAAGATACGTCTTTGTTCATAATATATCCTGATATTTGTGAAAACAATATGGTTCACCACAGCAAAATGGTAATGAAAAATTTCCCAAAGAAACACATTTTAAAACATCACCTTCAAGATCCAAGAACCAGCTTGCCTGGATGTATTACTTTTTGTTTTCCAAATCACTCCATCTACTGGGTAAGAAGCTGGTGTAATGCAGCAATCTCAGCTACATCACCAATTCTGCTCAGTTCCGTGAACCTGGACCATGCCGGTGTGATTTTGCACACACTGCTCAAGCTAGATGTTTGTGTGATACTTGAGGTAACCAAAAGCAGGAGGAAGTTTAGCAAATATTATACCTTGCACAAATTAACAGGCATGTGGTAAGGCCAATTTGTTTTTATTTACCTGTTCTGCTTTCACTGATAGTCCCTAGAGTGCTCTCATGAGTAATCCTGCACTGAATTCATCCATGCTGACCTGCAGTCTGACTGCTTGCAGGACCTAAGCCGACACCTTTAGAAGTACTCAGGACTCTGCATTTAATGCATAGATGCCCTTTGTGTGAGCAGACTGCAGAAAGCAGCCGTGCTTCTGTGTTCATCGTTTTGAGCTGGGAGAGGTCATCAACATGCTGGGAGCCGGGAGCTCATCTCATGCTAGTAACCCTCATTTCCTATTTTGTCTGCCAACAGCAGTCACTATACATGAGGAAACAGCAACCTGAATGTGTCTGGGTAGGGGAGAAATAACTGTTCTTTCCATCCTGCAGACACTGTTGATGCTGACAGACTGCTGACATGGAAAGCACCTGGTACAACAGCACAGAGCAAAATTTCTAGCTGACTGTCCTGCCTGCATGTGCCCTAAAACCCTAGTGCAACCCCAACACTGTCCTCCCCAGGACTGCCACAGGTGAGAGCCAGCCCTAGGAACTTTTCTCTGGTAGCAGTGTTGGAGTATAATGTGAGTCTTTATGTAGCAGCCCTGCTATTAATTTTAATTCCAGCTGTGAGCACACAGGGACCGGTGAGTGCAGCTATTGGATAAACGGCAGCAGACATGAATGTCTCCTGTGCAGCCAGTTTTAACGTTATGCAGTTTAAAAGCTGGTAGGATGGATTGGATTTCTTTAAGAAAGAAATACACCAGAGAAGAGGTTCTCAGCATTGTTCCTACTTAAAGACATAAATAGGTCAAATATATTTTTTTTGGTGCGGTGCTAAGTTCTGTTTTTGGCCACAGTTAGTAAGTTTGCTTGGGGAAAACACCTGCTCCTACTTCATGTCTTGTGGGCTGGTTACAAAACTTCCTTTTTTCAAGTTCTTTGCAAAAGGCAACTGGTAGCAGTGGGTACTGGGCCAGTCGCTCACCTCCCACCGTCCCACACTGGCACCGCAGGCCCAGGCCCTGATCCAGCTCCTCTTTCACTGGTGCAAATCAGAAGTGCCACTGCTGGAGCACTCCTGGTTCAAAGCAGTTAGAGAGGCTGTGGGGGCCAAACATATAAAAAAACAGGAGCAAAATGATTTCTTATTAACCTGCGTTTCAAAGAAGTCTAAGCCAAGCCCTGCTATGCTCTTGACGCTTATCTTTAAGTGAAGGGCAGATTGCCCAACGCAGTGCCGATAACCACCTTTTTCAGGGCAAGACAGGTCAAGTACCTCCTAAAGGTTCACATCACTCTCCTTAGCACTGCTACAAGCTGGGGCTTTCATGGGTACTTGCATCACCAGACATTTTCTAAGGATCCTTGTAACACAGAAAATGCTCCCCTTGTTGCAGGAAGCATACGTTTAAAGCAAACACTCACAGCCTGAACTGATCCTTTGTTTTAAAACAGCTCCTTGTTTTTTTTATCTCACTTTTTCTCTGTAGCTTTTAGAAAACTTTCTGCCATAAACTAGAATCAATATGGTTATTAATTGAAATCTTTTGTCTTCTCAGCATTAATGACTCAGGTGGGGTATAATTTGCTGTCACCTCTTGGATTTTCTATGGAAATGTATCAAATTTCCAAGGCCCTGCTGGCCCCCAGTTGAACAGACGATGACGGTTGATTAATCATTTGTATTTTTCTTAATTGTCACTAATTTGAGCATAGAACCAGGCTGCAACATTGATACTTTGGCTTGATTAATTGAAGGACACAGATCAGCAGTGATGGTCAGATGCATCTCTAAACTGCTGTAGAGCTCCGGACACAGCCTTAACATGTGTTGCACTCAGAGCTTGATGAGATCCAACCCATGCCATATTCCTCCCTGGCCATTTATGACTTAATATACAGCACAAATTTCTGTCTTTAGCCCTGCTGGCATCACCACCCAGCCCTTAGTAGCTTCCAGAGAAATAGTACCGCATGCTGACTCCCAAAATGTGTAAATGGTGTAAATGCCAGAGGAAGAGAGAGGATGGCTGCACTCAGCAGTTTTCTCCTGTGGTTATAATATCAGCAGCACTCTTGTTAGCTTACGTTAAAGCCTCGTCCATGTATGATGTGGTCCCAGCAGGGAACACGGTACCGATAGACACAATGTCGAAAAGAAAGCTCATTTTCCCACTCTGTAAGGAGGGCCTCTCTCTTGCCCAAGTTTCTGTGTGTACTTACAAGTGTCCCTGGTGTGGTGCGTTTTAAGGGCACTTATCTACAATTTTGTTGTTGTAGTTCACTTGTTTGGAATTTTCCACTCAGAAATTGATGAAATTAGGCCCCTTCAGCTGTGGATGGACCGTGGCTCCTGGGCACTTGTAACTGCACAGGCTGCCCTTTGGATTTAACAACCACAGCTGGCTTTTGGCTGGGCAGACCTGGCATTTACAGAAAGCAACTGAGTAACCTCACCTGCATTCAGGTGGTCCCTGAGACACCATTTCGTAAGAGCAACTTGACAGTGTGAGTCAGAGCTCCGGGCACACACACCTTGTTCCTGTGCAGGGGCTCCAGTCCCAAACCCATTCCCTCTGTCCTGCTCCAATGCAAACAGCAGAGCTGGCCTTCACCCCAACTAGATTTTTACCTATGTAAAAATGAGATTCAGATTTTGCTTGAGCCTATTTCTAGACCTTCTGTTGCTAGATGGGTAGTTTTAACGCTGTTGTCTAGCGTTTTCTATCAAGTATGGCAAGGCACTGTACTTACCCTTCATTGTGCATACAAACCTTTCCAAATGGAAGGTTCAAATAGACAAGACCTGATATAACGTTGATGTTAGCCCTGTTCTGAGCAGGGGGTTGGACCACGTGGCCTCCAAAGGTCTTTTCCCACCTGAATTAGTCCATGATTCTATGATTCTAGCCTCTTGGGAAGGACATATACAGGTGGAACAGTAGCATAGAGATGGATGAAATGCCTTTTCCCAGATCACATGCTGGATGAAAGGCAGCCTAAGTTCCAGCTCCCCAGTCCTAAACACTCCTTCCTTCTAAATGCAACAATTACCTTTAAAAAGAAGAAGTTTATAAACCCTCCACTGAAAGTTATGTTCAGCTGAGACTGCACTGTGCCACAGCTTCCAGATATCTGTGTTGCATTGGGGTTGACAGCCATGTACTCCATCTGCTTCTGTGGAGAGAAAAGACATTGCAGGGCTGCTGATGAATCACAGAATGTGATGAAGAGGACAGGAAAAATTAACATGAAACACACAGAAATTTATAGCTGGTTTTTGGGTGGGTTGTTTTTCAGACAGGCTCCATGTGGCCAAATGAAGAGGCCAGTGGCAGCCTAATTGCTGGCTGCTGGGGTCATTCCCTGCTCCTAAACCAGCACTAGCACTTGTCTGACACAGCATTGAGCTGTTCCAGTTGTTAAATTGGCAGAAAATAATCGTTTTCTGCTCATTCAGTGAACTGATATGATTCAGGGCAGGGGCAGATGAGCACCAGTGGTAATTTAAAAAGAGGGAGCATTGGGAACTTGTGCCTGAAGGCAGAGGAACGATAAAGACAGAGGTAGGCAGGGGCTGGATTGGCTTCGACATATGTTGCTCCTCATATCATCCCAGCCTTCTCATCGTGTCCCCCACAGTTCATCCCTAGCATCAGCCAACCTAGGCTGTAATCTGAAAGGAGAGCTCTGGGGCCCTGAATACGCAGTTCAGCTCCTTCAGTCTTATCTCAAGCACACCTCACTTTCATAATAAACACCTCGCTGTGGTCTGGTGAGGTTGGGGATAATGCTCCTTGCCTGGCTTCTGCCAGGACAAGGGAGGAAAATTACCTTCACCAACATGAGATACTCATCCCATGTTTGAAATATTCAGACTCCAGGCAAGAATATTTGGATTTGTCATGGGGATGGCCCAAGGTGTATGAACTCTAGAGCCTGAGGATGTAATCCCACATATTCTATTAATGGAAGTTACAAAATCTCAATTCTGAGGGACATAATCACCATCTCAGGATTTATGACATCTCTTGCTGAATCATTCACAGAGGATCATTGCTAGGAGAGGGTACCAGCTCTCCTGCTCTGGTCCAGCCTGGCAGTTCCTGTGATCCTAAAATCTCCACACGTCAGCGTCAAGACAACCCGCCTCTGAATCCATGTCTGTGAATTGATAATTTCTTGCTTTCATTGCAACTTGCAGTGTCAAGCCCTTCACTGAAGTAAATTCAGATTTTATCTAGTCTGCCATTCCGGGAAACACAAACGACACTGAAGCCTGACCTACGCTCTCAAGTATTGCTACCACAGATACATCGCTGAAATAAGAAAGCACCCGTACGTGTCATGACATCATCATCCAAAGTACAGCAGCTGAGATGCTGTGGCACAGAAAAGGCCTTGGACTGGTAGTAAACCACTTATTTTTATCATACAAGCTAACTTCTGAAAAGCACTTTGAAGGAAGAATAAATGCCAGCTAATGAAGAAACAGTTGTTACAAAGCTCAGCCTTGTAGGGCTTCCACCTCACCTTTTGTGTATTTTGAGCCATCAGTTGCAAGCCCATGACCGCTTTGATGCAGGTCCTGTTCCCATTGGAGACGGTGTATGTGCCAGTGGGGATGGAAGAAGGCTGTGGTGCAAGAGTGGGTCTCACTGTTGTCATAGTAGCTGGGATGGTCGTTTGAGTTCCTGGACGAGTGGTGGTTGTGCTGATCATGGCTGTGGGTGTTGGACTTTTAGGCGTCATTGTCTGATTTCCTGACCCTGTGGTGGGCTTTACAGTCTGCATGGAGGTGGCTGTAGTAGTTATGGAAGTAGCTGTCATTTGTGTATTTGGCGTTGTATAATTTCTGGTTGTGTTCGTGGCTGCTGCTGTCATTTCTGTGCTTACATGTGTTGTGGATTGGTTGGCTGAGGACATAGGATGTAGGGTTGTGTTCTTCACTGCAGGTGTAACCGTTTCCATTGCCTGGGTTGTAGCCTGATCAGCTGCAGTTGTGTTCTCTGGTGATGTTGTGGACACCACTATGGGAGACGTCTGGCCAGTCACTTCTGTGGTGGTTGCTCCTGCCTGGGCTGTTGTGTGGTGGCCTGGTGCTGTTGTTACCTGATGCTGGTCTGTTGTCTGTAAAGCTGTTCCATGGCTTATGGGTGTTGTTTTAAGAGAGCCTGTGCTGTTAAAATTAACTGTGGTGCCTTGATGGGGTGAAGAATGATACAGGGAAACTGGCTGAGCAGAAGTAGCCATATAGTCGTCTAAGGATGTGGTTTCTGGAGACAGTTCAACCCCCAGGGCTACTTCATCAAAGCAGGAAGAAAATGCTGCAAAGAAACAAAGAAGTCAGTAGTCTAGAAACCTTTATGTTTAACATTTCTGTTGATACCCACAAGATAACTGCACTAATTTTGTTGTCAAATGAGTGATATGATTTTGTTCTTCATTTGGCTCCAGTCAGGATAGGAGAGTGAAAGCAGACATGCTGTAGGACTATCCATAAATTTTCACCACTCCTCCAATCTTCACACCTCTGAATATACCCTTTGCAATGGAAGCACGTTGGCTCCCGGTTCCCCACACACTGCTTCTGCTGCTGAAGGAGCCAGAGGACGACAGAGATGCGAGCAGACTTTGCAAATGCCCAGTCAGCATGAGAGTTCCCTTGCAGGCAGTAGTACAGCGAGATTTGCTAGAAGAAAATTATCAAGATCTAAGGAAGGTGCAGTGGATGCCTGGGTGTAACAGGCGAAGAGGTCGTTGGTTACTTACCAACAAAGCATGGAGAAAGGGAACATTTTTTGTACGTGAAGGAAGTGAGGCAGCATTATAGTCTTATAGCGATTCATAATAGTCTGAGAAACCAGTTTGGAAGACAGAGAAATTCCAGATATTTATTTATGGTGGTGTTGTAACCATGCTCACTTGAACCCTCAAGTTCTTCCTCCTGGGATGTTCCCAAGGGGATGCTCCAAACAAGGAAAGATCAGCCCTATGAGTGATGGGCTTTCAGCAATGAGAAATAAATTTCAGGGTACAGCATCCAGGGGCTTTTTAGACGTCTTCTAAAAATAGTCAAGCACCAAAATTATGCTTCCATCTTATAACATTTACAGAAACATGTCCCTTGCAGAACTGAAAGGAAAATATCTGGCTCCTAAATGTAAACAACTAAGTGAAGGATATTGTAAATAATGAAGTGAAGAAGTTGAAAAAGTACACTGTAGAATAGATGAACGTCACAACTCTTCTGCTTGAGTCTTTGATTGTGAATATGCAACAAGACTCTGTAAAGACAAGGTCAGGCTAAAAGAAATCACACATCACTGACATAGATGTGTGTTCCTTGATGTGCATGAAGCTTCAGGTATTTTACTTCCTAAATTATCTGGAGGAGGACAGAGGCGAATTCTCCAGTTTGGAGACAGAAGAGACCCAAAAATCCAAGACAGCTCATATTCCTAGCAGTACAGCTCCACAGAGGGTGCCACAAAAGTTGTCCGAGAAGTTTACTGTAAGCTGGTTCTTCCGAATCAATTTCTCATTAATCAGTGGCAAACATTTGTGGCAGGCAGGCTGCTGAGATACAGATTTTAGGATCGATTAAGGCCAGAGACACATTCAGAGTGAAAATGGCTGAAATCTCACAAGCTCGTCTTCCTTTCATTTGTTTATGCTCACTCGGCATGAACAGAGATCTGCAACAATAGCTGAATCCACAAAATCTTACCACTTTATGATACATATAAAATAAATAAGAATAACAAAACCTACTGAGTTTTGAATCAAATTCAAGATCAAAACCAAAGAAATGAGAACAGATGTATTGATCTAAACCCATACCACTGTTTTCCCTTAAAAATGGCTAGAGAAGAGCAGAAGTGTAGAGTTATACTCCATATTCCTGAAATTGCCTGGGTTTCATGTCTGTGCTGTACAGAATATACTTATCTGCCAGTGTAGCCATTATCATCAAAGAAGTGCAACTCGATACAGTTGAAAAGCCACAAAAATCATGGGACAGATCCGTCTGATTATGAATTTTATCAGAAGGAACCTAAAAATGCTATAATTAATATGATACTTTAGCTCATTTTCTCACTTCCCCTGGACTTTACCACACCTGCAGGCAGAGCTGAAGAGCAGGTAACTTCTCTCCCTCTTTACATGCCAGTGGAAAATGAGAGCAGTTGCCATATACCAGCTATAGGTTGTTGCATCTAAGTGTATCGGCACGATAAAAAACAAAAAAGAAGAAGTTGCAATTTTCACTCTTTTTTCCCATATATGATTGCAAAACAGGTCATATTTAAATTAACACAAGCCTTTAATAGTACTTCTTAGTTTTTAGTTAACAGATTGGTTTCGATTACTGACCAGGTAACATCCTGTAGACTTGGAGAGAAACACAATTTCACTAACACTTGGATGCCACACATAGCTTTTAAGTGAAACTTCATTTTCCCCCAAAAGTCATTTGAACTGAACTATTTTCATTAGGCAAATGTTCAGCCTGACAGTCACTGAGGGGTGAAATCAGAAATGTCTTTGGGGTGGGCCATGGCTCGTGCTCACCAGGTGACCTGCTAGACCGCTCCTCCAGCCTCCCACAGCTCTCCCCAGCATTTTGTAGTCTCTGCTGGGGAGCACGGCCATGCAGCTAAACCTCTTGGTTTGGGTCATCTTCTCAAAAGGCATTTGGGCACATGAGCTCCCAGGGACGGGTAAGGATTGCTGTCCACTTGCACCTCACGGTCTTGGATCTTCTTGGATGCCTGTTGGAGGTAGTTCAGTAGCTCTGCTGAGCAGAGGGGCAGGTGGGCCCATGAGATGCCTGACCTACCATCCAACTAAAGCCTAGGAGGCTTCACCAGCTCTCCTTCAGCATTGTGGCATTGCCTCTCAGGGAGCCTGGCACAACTTGGCAAAGGAGCCGCTTGCACGGCTCTCCCCACCGCAGCCCTTTTCACGGCTCTGCCAGCAAAAGGGGCCACAGAGCAACAATGAATTGCAGCTCTGCATCCCCTCGTTAGTCTCTGTTTCTTTTTTTTATGAGGCCATCTCAAAACTTCATACGACCACCGTTTTGCTTGAGGGACACATGCTCCCTGCGGTGTTTCTTCCTGGAGCAGGGAGCTGCAATCCCCTCGTCTCACCTCGGCTTCCAAGTTGTGCATTACAAATGCCGAGGGCTGCACTTCTGCCCAGCAACTCTTTGTGCATGCAACGCTTCAGAACAAAACTCTCAGAAAAGGATCAGGGCAGCTCTCAGAAATTCACTGTCCTCAGTCTGGACCTGGAGACCCTATTTTCATGCTTTGGTGACTGGGGAGGTTCAGTTAGTGCCAGCAAAGGAACGTCACTGCTCTGCTCCCAGGCATTACAGTGGGAAGCAAAGTGCTCAGGGCCATGATCTGGCTGCAACATTTCTCAGCCTGGCATCCTGTAATGGGCTGGGTGAAAAAAACTCTTGCTGGGAATTTTTCCTCCTCTCATCTAACCAGATGCTCATGCTGCTCGACAGCCCAGCAGGTTTGTTCTCCTTTATGCTGCCCAGAAGAAATGCTCGTATTTAGCTGACTGACTTCATGTGGTCACAAAAACCTGACCCAGCTCCTACAGTCACTGAAAACTCTCTCACCAGCTCTGGCTGCTTTGGTTCAAGTTCCTGAGGAACTTGAAAAGCACCGAGATTTTCTGAGAGGTTTTGGTACTATCATAGTTTCCCTTACACAGGAGCAATTTCTTAAACCTCCAACCCACCAGACTTTATCCCTTAACCTCTAATTATGTTTAACTCCCTATCTGCACAGAAAGACTTGACTTTGTGGCATTAATAAAACACTACAACAAATTATTAAAGGAATGATCAAAAATGGCTAAGGAGCTGAGGAAACAAGTTCTTTCTGGTCAAAAAGATCCTTGCTGACCACTGAGTTATTCGTACTACTTCTCTGTCTGATCCCGCTCTCGTTTTGTGTATATGTTTTGAGGCTACTTCACCAGGCTCTGGCTATGAAGCGGGTGTGGGAAAGCAGAGCAGATATGGCAGGAGCTGCTTGTGGTGGAGTCCCTGGGCTGCTTCCCTGCTCTCTGCACTGGGAGCAGGACAGAGGTTGTTACTTACGTGATTCCCCGTGTGCCGATGGCAACACACAGTGCAGAAATCCAGCACCCCACCAGCAAGATCAAACCTTTAGCCATTACACAGATTAAATCACGCTCTGTTCCTCTTCACCTGGCAGATTTTGTACTGCTGCGGGTGTTGAGGGATGACTTAACGTGCTGGGACACGTCCTTGGCTAGGCTGGCTCCCTAGATTTTCACAGAGCAGCATTAAGGATTGAATGGTGACTTTGATGTGGTTTGTCGTTGAGATAAGCCCCAGTCTGCCTTCCCCAAGCCCCTGCCTCGCTCTTGCTTTCCTGATCATGCTCTGCATCTTGCAACACAGACTAATGACTCAAGAAATGCTTCCTTTGTTTTTCTTCTGCTTGTCTCACTCAAGACTTTCAGTCAGTTCTGCTGGTCTGGAAAATTATTTTTAATTAAGAAAAGCAAGCGCAAAAAACCCTGCTTCTAATACTGTTTTGAGCTGACTCCATCACACAGTCAGAGTTTTTGTCACCACTGAGTGCAAGGGAAAATACACAGGAACACATCAGACTAAGTCTGTGCCAGCTGCAATTAAATGTAGTTATAGTTATTTCTTAGTAGTGGGCCTTTACTAAAAGCACCCTTGGGGCTAGCAACGAAACTGTTGAAAGTTTTCAGTCTGCTAGGCAGACTGAAAAGCAACAAAACCAGCATAGTCTGTCTTGTTTTTCTGATAGAAGTGATGGAGGATGTTACTCACCACAGGCGAAGGTCAGCAAGACGAACAGCCGTGCGCTCCTCCCCATGGCCAGCACAGCTGCAGGTTTGAGAGATGCTGCTTCTCACCGTGGAGCGGGTGGAAAGGAAATCACGGTTTCCTGGGGGTTGAAAAGTTTCACTTGATGCAGGGAGTGCTCAGTCACATGGCTGGAAAGGAGGTGGAGAGAGAGGGGGAGACCGATGCTTCTCGTCTGTAAACTACCGCAGAAGGAAATAAATGATAGTTAGGAAAGAAAGTGAAAACGGAAAGGACTGCTGGGCAACTGGGGGGAGGACAGGCTCTCACTCTGCATCTGAGACGTGGGACTCTGCGGGGCCACGTAAAGCTTCGTGCTCCTCTCTCCAGTTTTGATAACCTGGTGCAGGCTGCAGCTATACCCCGGGGGGGGTTAAGACCTGTAAATCAGTGCTTTCCCCTGTGCTTGTTAAAAAAGTCCTTCTTTAGAGCCAAACTCTTTCTTTTACATCAAGGCACAGAAGGGAGAGGTGTCATCTTGAGCCATCTCTGCAGAGCACCTGCTAAAAGCGAGACAGGGCTGAGCAAAACCCCAGACTAGCTCTGGTCCCAGCTGGGGGCTGCCAGCAGCCTTTGCTGCCTGGTTCAGTCCTGCTCCAAGGACTGAGCTTGTTCGAGGTGGATCAGCCAGGGTGGCTCACCATTAGCGTTGTGTCCAAACACACTCCTCAGCAAATAGCAACGTCCCACCTCTTGTCCCATGAAGCGCGTCCTGCAAACCATGCCTGCTGGGACAGGAGCCGTACAGGCAGGTCCCCACACGCGTCGTGGCACGGCAGAGATCTGCAACAGGACAGTGCTACGCCTGCTCGCGTGCCTGGCTGGATTTCCAGCCCTGGGCCTTTGCCATGGGGTGCTGTTAGGTGCGGGGGGAACACAGCAAGTCCCACATCTGGGACCTGAAGTGGTCTTCATTCTTCTTTTTCTCACACCAATATTGCACTGCAGTAACATGGTAAGGCCATTGACTTGAAAACTTAAGTGAGGTGAAGTTTGCCCCCAGAAATCTGGATACCGGCTGAAATGAATTCCAATTTATTTTGCTCTCTATATTTGCATTGTGTTTCTGCATTCTCATTTTACCCCTTGCCCTTCTACATGATCCACAGCATGCATTTGGGTCAATTAGTGCTCCCTTATAAACCACTGCCAGCAAAAGGCACGCAGATATCTTGGAGATAACTTGCCTTATGGCTGCAGCATTAGCACATGCAACTCTGAACTGTCTGTGTGAAGCGCTGCACTCTCCTATGAGTCCCAGGGATTCAAGATCACGACTAAGGGAAGAAAAAACCCACTTTGTGCCTTTTGTGACATGTGTGTTGGACAAATAAAGTTATATTGGACAGATGTGTGGATTTTTTTCAGCTGTGCTGACATGTCTTTACTGATACTTACTTAGCTTGACTAGAAAGAAAGCTCACTTGACTTGTTAGTTCAAATAGAGACATCAACCACAGTTTTTTGTACTAGTTATAATTTTTATAAATTTCAAACAAAGTGTGGTTCTACACAGGTCAGAATGGCCCAATTACAGAAAGTTCATTTGCACACTTTTTTCTTGTAATAAATTCATACATTCTGTCTTGAC